CACCTAGCTGTCAGCGTTACTTCCGGATCTTGCCAAACTCACCTGAGGTGGCATTCTAAATCTTGCCAAACTCACCTGAGGTGGCCTTCCGGGTTTCGCAAGTGGCTTCCAGGGCACTCACCCGGAAGCAGAAACGCTGACGCTAAGTCAGCATCGCGGAAGCTAATGCGCTAGTGATAAAAACCCGCCCTTCCAAGAAGCGGCGGGCAGTCTTAACCGAAAGGCGATATCGCGCGCGACCGAACGTTATCAACTCCAGTGTAAAAGCCCGCAAGTCAGGGCAGTGAAATAACAAGATATCTGTATCGTTATAACAGAAAGTTTATTAAAAGGTTATTTAAAACAAGAGTCTGGCTAGTGTTTTCTCTATCCTCCCGGCGGATCCTAAAGAATCCCGTGCCGACCCTGCAATCCAAGGTACGGCACAACAATATAATAGAATTAATAAAATTTGTTAATAATAAAGAGGTTACAGATTTCTGTTTAAAAAATCTACATGATTGTTCTAATTTCCGCAAATTTTGAGACATCAAGCCAAATACAACACCAATCTAACTTTAATGATACTTATTTATAAAAAAAAGTGTGCAAGTAGAAATTTGCACATTGCTTCCTCATAGTTTTTAAGTGTGCAAGTGGAAACTTGCACATTGCTTCCTCATAGTTTTTAAATGTGCAAGTAGAAACTTGTACATTGCTTCCTCATAGTTTTTAAGTGTGCAAGTGGAAACTTGTACATTGCTTTCTCATAGTTTTTAAGTGTGCAAGTAGAAACTTGTACATAGCTTTCTCATAGTTTTTAAGTGTGCAAGTAGAAACTTGTTTAAGTGAGCAAGTAGAAACTTGCACATTACTTTCTTATAGTTTTTAAGTGTGCAAGTAGAAACCTGTACATTGCTTTCTCTATGAGGAAGCCAAATTAATAAAATAATTATGCATAAAAAAACAGGTTTCCTCATAGAGAATGCACTTAAAAACTATGAGAAAGCAATGTACAAGTTTCCACTTGCACACTTAAAAACTATGAAGAAGCAATGTACAAGTTTCTACTTGCACATTTAAAAACTATGAAGAAGCAATGTGCAAGTTTTCACTTGTTTTTATTTGTTAGAATGATTGGGACGGATTAGGAGAAGGAAGACTCGTATTGTTTTCCCAGCAATAACTTTATTAAGTTGACTTATTAGTACAATCTTTGCACGCTTGTCTCGGACTTTATTCGAATTGATTCACTACTGTTTTCTCGATCGAGTTTTCTCGATAAGGAAACGAGAGAGAGGGTTTTGGAACCTGTAAGACATGCTTATTTGAACGTCCGACAAATGCTCTGAGGATTGTCTTTAGATTCCAAAACACCCCTTTCCGCCAATCGTTAACGAAAATCGAAGAAATGTCCAAATATGGGCTGAAGTCGCGTAACAACGAGAAACCTTGGAGGATAAAATTGACGGGGCTTAAAATTATCGGAGCTCTCTACCTCGCGTTAAGAAAAACGTGAACATGCATGTATGAAATGTAAAATTACATATAAACGAAAGAAAAAGAAAAACAATGTTAATTGCATGTACATTTTCGCATTTATTGACCTAAATTTAAAAACAAATTTTTTTTAATAAAAAGATCTCTATTTATAAAATGGAATAATATATCATAAACGTCAATGTCATAATCTTAGAAATAGTTACTTCTTAAATGGAAAATCACGTAGCCAAGCTCGCAAATTACTAATTTGCTGTTGCACTGCTTTTAAACTAGTTCCACCGGTAGTTTGGTATTGATCCACACTGGAGTTGAAGTCCCAAATGTACGATACATTATCTTCAAATGCTTCGCTAAAACAAATATTTACTGTTAAACTTTTTTTATTCAATAAAACATTTTCATAAATTTTGATTATACCTTATTGTTTTTAATTGTGAAATCGTTAATCCTGATAAAGGTATTCCTTGTGATTCAGCTAGAGCAACAACCTTTCCAACCAAATGGTGACTTTCTCGGAAAGGGACCTTGAAAAGGGATATTTTAAATTTAAATGATATTTTATATATTACATTAGAGATAATATTGTGGTACTTAAAAATCATGATTTAACCCTAGAACACTGAGTGTAACACACCCACGTTTGTTATTAAAAATGCCCGCTATTTCTATATAGTGAAAATTAGGGAATCAAAGTGGTAAGGTAAATAAACTTTTGTTCCCCCTCTACGACTCCTCATGCTGCGCAGCCTCATTTGCCGTTTAGTAGATGTATGGCACGCGATTAATTACGTCATAATTAACCTTTGTCACGTCAAAACAATATATTTTTTAAAGAAACTGGACACTACAGACGCGCGCTTCGCGCGCGCTATTTAGCTTTAACATTATATATGCTATTACTATTACACTATTAACTCCTTGAACACACAACTGTCAAAATATACAATGACAGCTGCAAATGAAGTAAGCGCAGCAAGAGAACCAATCGGCATCGCGGAAAAGCGACAACAATAAACTTTACATCTTTTTTTAGATATGGATCATTATTTCTTATTTTTTTCTGAAAAGTTACATCTTTTACATTCAACAAATAACTGGTTTTTTTATAGAATGCGACATTAAAAAAAAAGTAATTTTTGGAAGCAAAAAGTATGCTTTTCTGTGAGTTAGGAAACTCGGGCTTTTTCCGAAATTAACTTTTGTCTTTAAATGTTAATCGTAATTACAATGACACAAGAGCGTTCCTGACATTCTGACGTTTAAATAAAAAAAAACCATGTTTAAAAATATCGACTTTTCGAAAACTTATTGATAATTGAAAGTGTGTAAACTGAATATCGTATACCCAGTGTGGTGGAATCAGGACTTTTTAGAAGTATGGTGTTCAACAGTTAATATATTAGAAATATGTTAACCCCTTGACTGAAAATAAGCAGAAAAATAAGTACCAAACGGGCCAAAAATAGCAAGATAAAAATTCTGTCCTGTTTTCATGAAACTTGGTATTAATGGTTTTTTTTAATCACTGAATATGAATCTGGGGTCAAAGTTTAAAAATTCAAAATGGCTGGTTCAATATGATGACCCAAAATTTCGAAAACTCAAAAAGTAGCTGATTTCTATGAAACTCGTTTCTTGGGGGACTTTGGGTTGCTGAATACGAATCTGCTGTAAAAATTTCAAAATGGCGGATCCAATATGAACAATCTGATACAACAGACTGATTTGACTGATCGACTTCTTTTGAACTGACAGACTTGATCGACAGAGTGATTTGACAAACTGACAGAGGGTTGATCACTCGAATTTTGAGAGTACATCAGATTCAAGACTTCTCGAACTTGACTGTCATGTTTTAGAACGCAGAAGTTTGTTGCATTATTCCAAACTTATGGCGTCGCCATATTAAATCCGCCATTTTTAAATGTTGACGGCAAATTCGTATTCAACAACCCAAAAAACCTTCTAGTATTACCGAGTTTCATAGAAATCCGCTAATTTATAAAAGTTTTCGAAATTTTGGGTCGCCACCCAAACAAAACAAAATATTTAATAGATATCCAGTGGATATTTACATATCCATGGTCTATATCTATTATGGATATTTAATAGATATCTGATAAATGTAAAAATATCTATATCTCTCAAATAACCAGCAGGGATACCTATTAGATATCCACACGTTATCCACATATCCATGTCCACAAAATATCTATCAAAAATATTCATTAGATATCCACATGTTATCCACATATCCATGTCCACAAAATATCTGTCAAAGATATCCATTAGATATCTATACGTTATCCACATATCCATGTCCATAAAATATCTACACAGTAAAAAAGTTTATATTTTTGTTAAAAAAGGTCCTTGTTAAAATTTTTGTGTTAAAAATGTAACATATTTATGTGTTAATTTTTAACTAATTTTGATTATGTTATCTGATTTATTTATGTTAAATTCATATTTAAGTAAATTAAATGTTAAAATAACACATTATATGTAATCGTGAGATTAACATAAAAATAATATAGTTTTGTTAAAAAAATATTCTTTTCATTTATGTTTAACATTATACAAATGTTTGTTGTACATGAAATTTTTGTTCACATATCAAACTTTTTTTAATTTTGTGCTAAATTATAGACATAATATTTGTATCATAATTTGACATATTTACATTATTAAATTAACACAATGAGTGGACCGTTTGGGATTTCCAACTGTGTATCAAAGATATCCATTAGATATCCACGTATCCATGTGCACAAAATATCTATCAAAGATATATCCATCAGATATCTACGTGTTATCCACATATCCACCATGTCCACCATGTCCACCAAGTATCTACCACATGTCTACCACAGATATTTACTAGTTCGTAACGACGCCGCTAAGCGGCGCATAATGGTAGGACCAACTCGTAAGTAAATTTCTGTTGGAAGCGAATACAAGCAGTTCCCGGCGAAACAAAATCGCGACATCCGCGGGTCTTCGGACCCGGTTCTTCTTTTAAATTTAGAGAAATAATATTTTTGAGATGTTAATTCAACGTTTATGTGCTTTATGGGGTTCTATTTCTATATAATGCACATATTTTAAAAAAACATCGAATAAATATCCACGCAAATATCTAATCAATATCCACTAGACGTGCAATAGTTATTTATATAAATATCCAATAGATATCTAATGGATATCTATCAAATCTCGTATTGCGGACATTTGGATATCTATTAGATATCTAATAGATATCTCGTAGATATCATGGATGTACATTGTGGATATCCATTGTATATTATGTTCTGTGTGGGCATATTGATCAGTTATTTTGAATTTTATAATTCTGATCCCAAGTTCAAATTCGGCGACCTCAAAAACCTCTAAGTAGTAAGTTACTTTGCTAACTAGAGAAAACTGAAACAATGTGCGCGTATATGCGTCAACCAGTTTTGGCACATTTCTTTCTGCGCCATATGACGTCAATGCTAGTCAAAGGGTTAAGAATTTTGTATTGCGTGCTTCTGACTGTACTTTCAGATAACGTAGCTGGTAGACAACAGCACGGCAGAGAGAAGGTTACGTTTCGTTTGTCATTTGTTTAATCTTAAAGTTGCTAATCGCCGGAAAACTAGTGGTCTACTAAGGTGCTTCTTTAAGGCTGAAAGGCTGTAGAACGACATTTCTCCTTTACCTAAAAAAGGGATTGACGTCCTGGCTGGCTAACATTGGGCAGGAGCGCACTCTTTTCGAAGTTGTAGAAAATTAAATAAGAGAAATATGCAACGTTGTTGCGAATTGAATAATGTAAGTGAAAGCGAGTATCTTTCGAGAACGCTCGAAATGCTCCAAACCGCGAATGTTTACGTTCCCCCCTTTTTTTTGTTTTCTTGAGCAAACGGCTCTCAGGTGCGGAAAACGTGATCCGCCGCGTGATCGCACGTACCTCTCCTAATAGAATAGTCGCCTGACAGTTTGAAACCAATCAGACGATTTATCGTCACGACATTCCTCGCGGCCTAATGCGTAGCTCCGGCCGCGATCGTTTGCTTGCTCCGGCCGGGAGAACCAGTGAGCCCTCGAAATTCGTGCACGACACTTGTGCTGGCAAGTGATTGTCGATATCGAGTGATCAGAGTCTTAATTATTGTATCGAGTCGCGGCAGCGAGACGAAGTGTAGCGAGTATAGTGCGAAATAAATTGACTTTTATCAATATCGCAAGAAACTGATTTCCTGTATTTTCCTCGGCGTGCAGCGCGAATTAACCTGAGCGGTCCACTAACATTAAAGTTAAAATTTTAACACATAAAATTTTATACCTTTTTAAGTAAATAAAAAATATTGCCAGGCGTCCTGGTCGGTATTTATTGTGTTTTGTTAAGGCTAAAGTTTTTACAGCATATTTTTGATATTATCAAAGTAATATATGTGGAAAGCCAGGTCGATCTAACGGTAATAAAAACACGACAAGTGGTAAAGAGTGTTCTATGTGACAGAGAGTGCAATAGAGAGAAAATTATGCAGACGCGTGCATTCGAGAGAGAGCGTACATAGAAGGCCCATTGATGCGTCATATATATATCGATGCGTTATAAAATATTTTAACAATTGTCAATGTTTATTTTTATTTTTATATATTTTATAATGTGTATATTTGTTATACTGTTATTTATACCTTTTTATGTTTTGCTTATGTAATAAAAAAACGTACCAAAAAAAAATTCAATAACTTTCAGTTAATTTTCATGTATTATTGTATGAAGAGGAATGAAGCAAAAATGAAAATACGAGTCGTGTCCGGAAAGTAAAGATACATCGCATGTAGGCCGATAGGGATAATTGTTATGCGTATTGTGACTAAACTGGCGTTGACTTTGACCCTTCCGCTTTCTTTTCGCGTTTGTTTGGAAGTGCTAAACAAAGTATTATTCGAGTAACACGTCTTTGTAATAGCAGCGCCAATCTAGAATCTCACCAAATGCGAGATGTTTTGAGTGGGTCTCAATTGAACGTCATCAATTGGCTGATTTAAAATAAAGATATCTGATAGACTGGTCCAGTGAAAAAACTCCAGGCACCAGAGGCTGTGAGGGGCTGTAGTCAATCGTAACGTGGTCAAACGATACGTTCCCGGTGCGTTTATACGTTTTCTCAACGCAAAAGATGAGCGTTTAGCGAAAGTTCATAGACAAATTCGCTCATAAACAGTGAAATCTAGGCACACTCTTACATATCGATAGTTCTAATTCAGTATATAATTGCGAAACATTAATACGTATGTCGTTTATTATTTCCAACGCCGACTTCCATGAAAATTTTCAAACCGTAGTTAGATGCTCCATATTACCTACCATTATCACAAGGATATCTGTGTCTGAAGGTTTAATTAAAATATTAGAGTCATCCTTGATTTTACAAATGTGGTGCATTATTTTTGTGTCCGCTTCTTCGTGATATTTGCATGACAAATATTCGTTAATGGTACTAAATACACAAATATTATCAGTTGTATAAAA